TGAATTTTTCTAATATATTGATCAAATGCATATAATTGACCTTCTTTAATTGAAACAAGTAAATTATGAAAAGCATCAAGTTTATATTTAGCTATAATTTGTAATGATGGTGTATGACCAAATTGCATTTTTGATACACATAAATGAATTAATATGGATGCTTTATTTTTTTTCATAAATCTAGGACAACGTTGAAAAATTGGATCAAAACATTCAGTAGCTTTTCGATAATCATCTTTGAATACATAAGATTCATTATCAATACTAACCTAAAAAATAATCATATATTATTTTCTGATCTTCTAATAAGTAATGTCGAAATTCTAATGATTGTTCAGCAAATGAAAGTAATTGATTAAGTATTTGTATAGCACCCCATTTCTTGGACAAACGTTGTTCTGTACAACGGTCACTTGTACATACACGAAATGCTTCTGTAAGTAATTCAATTGTTTTAGTTACATTCGCTTCCGAAGTTTGTCGATCATTATCAATAGATAAATCAGCAATACGTTGTGATGGTGGACTTGTATTACCATCTGTATGTCTTGATATATATGATGTAAAATAATTTGTTAAAAGACAAAGATCAGTTAAAGTAAGAATAAGTATTGGTATATGCCAATTTTTATTTTTACTTTCTTTTATAAGATCAAGTAATAATCGACAAAGTAAATATTGATATTGTACAATATCATTTAAACGACTTTTATATAATAATGTTTGACATATTTCAATATGATTTGTTAACCCTTTACCCCCTGGTGGGTCATTTTTGACCCATTTATAGAAACTATTTTTTTCAACTAATAAGACATGGAATCAAGACGGTTCTTGAATATTATGTAGAGCACTCAACTACTTATAAAACGGTAAAAAATTGAGCTCTTCTTGGTTGTTCCTTACGTAAGATATTAGTGGCGCAAAATGATGGTTTTTTAAAAAACTGAAAAAAGTCGATTTCTATACTTGTTTGTCTTGCTTATTTTTAAGAGCTGATCGTTTTCTTGTTTGAATGATTGACATGTTTTACTAAGGACATCGTGTCTTCATACATACCCATTTAAAAAATTATCGATTTAATAAGTGAGAATGCCGGTAGTTAGAACAACTTGGGTCAAAAATGACCCATTCGTATTGAATGACATAAAAAAATGCATTTTTCTATAGGTAATTTTTTACGATATAATCTTATTATTAACGATTTTCTCATGCTAAAAACGTTTTTTATAACTAATAATCGAACAAAAAGAGATTTACTCTTGATTTTAACGTAAAGTGTGTGTAATTCTATAATAATAGGTGGATGTGGGTGTGAAAATGTAGGTATAGATCTGAGTAAGGATGTGGGAATGGATGAAGAACAGACCAAAACTCATTCATATCCATATCCTCACTCACACCCACACTCACACCCAAAACTATCATTGTAAAAAATAAATAAACATATGTGTTAGACTGATATTCATTTTTTTATTATAACTTTTGATTGTAATGATACTAAATTTATCATATATTGTTTCGAAATGTATTCTTTTTCTGGGAATAACTCGTGATATGACGAAAATTCCATCTTTATTTAGATAAATAAGTACACAATTGAGATAAATCGTGAAAAAAACAAATTTAGAAAAATCCAATTTTTATGTCACTCAGGACGAATGGGTTATTTTTGACCCATTCTATATCTCCACAGGGAAACGATTTTGTTCAAATTCAACCATATCAGTGTCATATTGAGCACTTATATGATCTATTACTATGGTCGACTTAATATCAACTCTGTTGGATTAGTGCCAGGGGGTAAAGGGTTAATATTACATTCCAAGCTTGTACAACGCGACCATATTTTTCAAATAAATCACATGTATTTGCTGGAGAAAATTTTTCAACAGGATCTTTATGTCGAATACTTAACAGAGTACATAATGATGAACTATTCATTTGAAATACACCTTCATTAAACTCATCCAAATATTTTTGTAAATTCATTCATTAACTTTGCCATTTATAAATACATATTTTATATGTACAAATAAATTTATTTTTTTATTTACTTCTTGAGTATTTAATAGATCTTTTGTATTTAGAAGGGTGTGGTGT